TGTATAGTATAGTCCAGAAAATATAGATATTTTCATTAATGATATAGAAACTCATAAAACAAAAATTAAAATTGTTTATGTTGCACCAGAATTTCTTTCTAGTAGTTTAAAGATGAATGAAGTAATGAAAAAACTATATGACCAAGGATTATTTTCATATCTTGTTATTGATGAAGCTCATTGTATTAGTCAGTGGGGACATGATTTTAGACAATCATACGTTGAATTAAGAGAATTCAGAAAAAAATTTCCATCAGTGCAAACAATTATGTTTACTGCTACAGCAACAGAAAGAGTTAAAAATGATATTTTATTATCTTTAGGACTTGAAGAAGCTATTGTATTTAATCAAACATTTAATAGACCAAATTTAAGATATGAAATGAGATTTAAATTACCAAGTGTTGAATTTGATATTGCGTGTTATATTCAACAACATCCAAATCAATGTGGAATTGTGTTTTGTCTTTCTAAAAAAGACTGTGAAAATTTAAGTAAATTTCTTGTTAATTATGGAATAAGAGCTACTTATTATCATGCTGGACTAGATCCTAAACGAAGAAAGCAAGTTCAAAATGATTGGATGAATGGAATATTTTTAGTAGTTTGTGCTACTGTTGCATTTGGAATGGGAATTGATAAGCCAGATGTTCGATTTGTTATTCATCAGACTATGCCATCCAGTATTGAACAATATTTTCAAGAGGCAGGAAGAGCAGGTAGAGATGGAAAACCAAGTGATTGTATTATTTATTTTAATACAAATGATATTGCTAGAGTAAAATGGGTAAAAAGAAATATGGGTGAAAATGAATTAACACCATCTCAAGAACAATCTATTAATGCAATGGTTAGTTTATGTGAAACTGATGAATGTAGAAGAAAAATTCAGTTAATGTATTTTGATGAAAGTTTTAATGAAGAGAAGTGTACAGGATGTGATAATTGTGAAAGAAATAAAGAAATACACCAAAAAGTGATTAAGAAAAAAAAATTAATTATTGTTGATGATTAAATTCTTTTTAATTTCTAACAAATTTAGTATTTTATTTAACATTTCTTTTAAATAACAAAAGAGAAAAACTATAAATTCTTTCATTACATAATAAATATAAAAGATGTTACTTGGTATTTATTTATTTATTATAACGATAGTTGGAATACTTATTATTATTAATTTAATTGGATCAAGAGCAAAAAGTGATTCAGTTTTAGGAAAAATATATGAAAAGATTTATATTAAAAATAAAGTTATTCATGGAATAATTGAATACCTTTTTTACAAACCAAATCCTCTTCTTATTATATTTATGGGAGTTCTTGTTACTGTTGGTTATGTTTTATTAGCTATGGAACCTATGAAAGTTTTAAATTCACATGGTCATTGGTTAATATTCCCTCATCTTCAATTTCTTGGTACATTAATATTTTATTACTTAGCCATTAAAACACCTCCTGGATATATTAAAAAGTCTACATTAAAAGTATATCAAAATAGATATCCATATGATAATATTTTATATAAAAAAGAATCAAATTGTGAATATTGTCATTTAGAAAAAATACCTAGAAGTAAACATTGTAAAATATGTGGTAAATGTGTTGCTCGTTTTGACCATCATTGTCCTTGGATTAATCAATGTGTTGGAGAAAAAAATTGTAAATACTTTTTATTTTTCTTATTATCTATGTCTATCTCATTACTCATTGTAACTTATTACTGTGTTGTTGCTATTAAATACTTTATGGAAGACCATAACATGACTGGAAAACATCCTGCCATTGTTACTCCAACTACTACTATTCCTTTAGACTTATCGTTAACTTTGATTATACTATTTAATTATATGAGATATACTATTATGATGGTTGTTCTTTGTTTTGTAATGGGAATTGCTGTTTTATGTTTCTTTTTAAATCAGTTGTATATTATTTATAAAGGTTATACAACATATGAAAAAATTAAATGGGATAGAATGTATGACCAATACCATCAATATCTTAATGAGCTTGATGATATGACTGAAGAACAGAAAAAAGATAACCCTTTAGAAGAAGTTGTTAATCCAGATTCATTAATTAATTACTATGACAATGGGTTCTTTAATAATATAAAAAGTACTTTATTCCCAGAGAAATATCCACAAGCAAATTCTAAATTAAAAAAACAAAAATAATTATTTTTGTTTTTGTTTTTTTTTAATAAAAAAAATTGAAAAAAAAACTTAAAATTATATTCAACGATAATATTAAAGGGATAATTATAATAGAAATAATAATTATCTAAAGGCACGTTGAAAAAGTAAAAATGAATTGATCACAACAATTACTAATAAATAAATTCTCAAAATTTATTTTGAAAGTTTATTTATTTCGTCATGGGACGATGGTCAAGAGAAGGAGGCATTGAAATGCGGAGAAAAATAATAGTGTTTTTCCTTACGAAAACAATGCTAAATATTAACCAATTATTTTATAAAAATCTATTATTTAATTTATTTGAATAATAACCAACCATCTTCTCTTTGTTGGGTATTTGATAATAAAAGATAAGAATTTACTCCAGATGGTATTCTTAAAGCAACAGTAAGATTTGATTGAGATTCATCAATTTTATTTAGAGTATAACTAAATGATTTATTTGTTAAAGGAAGAATTCCATAAATGTCATTTGTTGATTCTTCTTCTTGTTGAACTTCAAAAGTTATTGGGTCTAATAATCCGTAATGAATTTTCCAATGATAATAAAATGGAGCAACTCCATCATTAGCAATTGTTATTTTAATTTCAATAGAATTACTATTTTTAATAATTGTACCTTCTGTGGCATAATAATTATATCCTAATAATCTTTCTGCTTTATTTCTTCTTTCAACCCATTCAGAATGAGTTTGTATCCAGTCTTGAGTTCTTCCAAAGAACCAATTAGACAATGCCCATGAAGCATGATAATGAATAGTATCATTAAGGAATTTTTGTGTTTTTGTATCTGATTCAAAACGAGTTGATTGTTGAGTTGGGTCTTCTTCTCCACCAAAACTATAAGTTTTCCAACGATCACTAACATTATACGTATTGATAAGTTTATCCATATAAGCATCATGATCACTGTTTCCTAACATGTCGTGATAAAATCCAATTCCTCTTGTTTGTGATCTTGTTTCAGGAACTCGTACTTCACACATTGTAATTTTGAAATTATTTAATGCCATATCCATTATTCTATCTAATGTTTCATCAGTTGGTTTTTTTGATTTATCAGTAATGTATGTTGTATGCCATTCTCCCCAATGTCCATATGTTCCAAGTTGCCAAAATCCAATACGAGGATCTCCATCAAATTTATTACCTAATTCTTTGAATAAATACTCTAATTGTGTTAATAAGTATTCATTATTATAATTTGGTGATTTACCTGCTCCTGAAGCACCGTCATAGTCATACATCTCAATTTTATTTTGAATGTATGTTGGAATAAAACTACTTTCACTTGGTGAATCTAAAACAAGACGAATAATTGCTTGTGTTTTCATTTCTTTTATTCTTTCTAAAATCGACTCAAGATAATCTAAATTAACAATATTCTCTCCTACTAATACTTTATTTAATTCTAATCGTACATATTGTAGACTTAAAGGTAACTTTGCTGTATTTCCACTTCCATACCACATACCAAACCCTTTTAATGGATTCCCAAGAAAACCCTCTGTTTTTGAAAAACTAATTGTTATCTCATTGTTGTTGTCTTCATCGTTATCACTATTCTTTGATAATCCAACAGCCAACCCAATGACTAAGGCAAGTAAACAACAAAATACTATAACTGAAACAAATAATGAAACTCCTATAATAACTCCTTTCTTCATTAGAATACTACAAATGATAATCTCAAAACTTTGAAAAAAAATAATAAAATTCAATAAAATTTCAATTGAATTTGAATGTTCATTTTATTTGATATATTTATTCTGTTTGATTTATTATTCATTCAATATCAAGTACTTAGTTCATCATTGAATCAAATAACTATTTTCATTAACGTTACTGATATTTTATCACTGTCTCTGTTTATTGTTCTTTCATTTATTATAATTATGATTTTCATTCACTTTATTATTTTATATTCATATGAAAATGATTTCTCTTATGTGAATAGTTAATTCATTATTAATTAGATTTAACTTATATTGCAACTTAGTTTTTTTATAAATGATATCCTTGGATTTATCAAAACATCCTCATTTCATGACTTATTAATTAATTGCATTTGTATATTTATGTTAATTTAATAATAACTAAATAGTTTTTGATATGACATTATGTTAGATAATGAATAACAAAGGAGAAAGAAAATCTCACTGTGGAATTCACCAATTTAATACATTAAATATATTCATTATATTTATTTCCTATGAATATCTTCATTACGTTCATCATAATTTCTACTTTATCTATGTTGATTCATTCTATATTAAGATATTTTAATGATTCTATTCCCATTTATGACTAACAGTGTCATATGATTTCTTAATATCTAACTCTACACACTTTCCTATTTATTTTTCTTTCTATTGTTCCATCATTAAATATTAATTATTCATTATTTACCATCAAGAGATTACAATTTACATCATAATTGATTCTTAATAATTTTTAATGATTCATTAATCTTATTAATTCTATTATGAATCTTCTCTTTTAATATGGAAGTAAATATTTTCATAATTACATTTATATAACTGATATAATGACAACTAATAACAATACTCTTATCACCTCATAAAAGAGGATATTAAGAAGTAGTTAAAAAATACTCAGCTAAAGAAAAGAAGTACAATATATAACAATGAAATATGTCCAAAAAAAATACAAAGAAAAGATTTTTATAAACAATAAAATATAAATAATTTTGGCTATAAATCATTTATTCTTTTCTTGAATACTATTAAATACCATTAGTTAACTTGAAATAACTTCGTAATTTATAAAATTTTAAATAGTTAGTAAAAAGTGTTTGTTATTCTACTATATCAACAATGACAACAGTTAATGAGTTGGTTAATGTTGTTTCATTAACAAAATCACCAAAAACACAAAGTATTAATTAAGTATGTTGAAACCCATTGTTTTTCCAAAAAGATGTTATTTAATTAAATTCTTTAATAAAAAAAAAGAAAAAACCACAAAAATAAATAATTATTCTTTCAACAAAAACTATTCAGAAGTATTTTATACCTTGAAAAAGATTATTTCAATTCAATAAGAAATGAATAGTATTTCAAGAATACTCTCACACAATTAACATGGACATAAAGCATATAATTATACATCCTTTGGATTGTGTAAACATCTGAGAAAGAAAGATTATTTTATGGTTTAAATTATGAGTAGGGTTTTAAATTGAAAATATTTTCAATTGTATAAAAATAAAAATAAAAGAAAACTAAAAATCTAAAAATTAAACTTTCAGTTATTCATTTTTAATTGAACTGAAGAACTAAAAATTAATTTAGCATTAATAATGAAATCAAAGGAATTGATTAATGAATATGAGAATTATTTCAAAGAATGGACACAACTAAATTATTTTGAAGAAATTTATGACAATAAAAAAGATGGGAATTCGAGTGCCGATATCAATAGAAAGATTCATGGAAGAAAAAATGTTCTGTTTTTAATAACAACAACAGAAGGATGGGCTTTTGGAGCTTTTATTGCTGGACACATTCCTGTTCCATCAGAGTCAATGCAATACGTCAAAGACACTCATAAACATTTTGTTTTTACATTAAAAAATCCATTTAATATTGAACCAATGATATTGCATAGAAAAAAAGGAAAAGGGATGACTCTTAGTGTATTTCCAAATAGTAATATTGTCTATTCCTTAGTTATTAAAAAATTTTGTGTTATTAAAAAATCAAAAGATGAAAATTCTGTTATTCATCCTGAATTTAATACTAAATATGAAGATCCTACTCAATATAGCTGTTGTTTATTTACTGGAGAAGACTCTATTAATGTTGATGAAATTATTGCTTATCAATGCAATTAACTATATTTTTAATTAATCTCTTTTCTTTCTTTATTTGTTCATTTATTATTTGTTTCCTTTTTTTTGGAAATTAAAAAATGGTTGTAAATTTCAAAGTTATTCATTTCTTTCTCTTTTATTTTTTATTTTATACTTCTGAATAAACACTAAACAATATTTCTTCATAAATTAATTTCTCTAAAAAAAATTTGATTGTACTAGAATCATTAAAAACATATAAAAATTGTAATAATTTATTTCATTTTTAATAAATTACAAAATACTCAACTGATTAACTAAGAGATAAGGTTATATCTTATACAGAAACAATAGAGGTATTAACTTTTAATAATTAGAAACTGATTTTAGTATTATGTGTTATTAAGTAAATAAATTAAAACATACTTTAATAAGCAACTTCATTCAATTAATTTACTTTATAAATTCTTTGTGAACATTTTTTATGAATAACGTTGACAAAGCATCATCCAATATTAGAAATTTTAATTTTCTTTTTGTAAAAGTGCTTAAAAAGAATAATTATATCATAATAATCAATAAAAAGTAATTAGAAACAAATAAAATTGGAACAGAAATGCCTTATATTAAACATTTATTATCAAGTGGAATATGGACAGTTCATTAAATAAGGAATGAAACAAGAAAGATACATCTTACAAGGTCAAGAAAAAAACAGTACTATGAATTAAAAAAATGTATATACAAGTTATTAAAACAGTAAATTATTTATAAAATTATTTTAGATTAGACGCTTTCATGTTGAATGTAGTTCAATTAAAGAAAAGCATAAATTGGTAAAGAAGAAAGTTTATTTAAATATTATTCTCAAAGGTTTCAGTGTGTTTATTCAAATAGGATTTAAGAGTTTTTAAGAGTTTTACTAAACATTAAAAACCACTTGATTTGAGAGTCTTTTTCTCTTGTTCAAATTAAGGACAAGAAAATATTAGATTTTTTAATACTATAGTAAAAATTTCATGTCATGAGTTTGTTTATTTCATTTCTTCTTTACCCTTGTATTAAATGTGTACGTTGTGATTTAAAGATTTAATAAAAGCTATTTGGCATAGGCTGAATACTTTCTTCATAAAGAAAAAGAAATTACCAAGTAATCAATTATTA